ACACACACAAGGTCACAAACTCTCTGATGACCCACAGTGTCACACGGACACAGGATACACCTGCCCTACAATGGCACAAGCGTTCAGTAGTATAGCCAAACCCCGCAGCAGACGCGGACAGGGTCACCTGTCATTCTTTGTTTACGGAGACAGACAAGGCCATCTCCATACAGAGGTGGCATATATAGGTATACTCTGATAAGGTCATACCATCACCATCAAGACAAAGTAAGCCACAGATACAAAGTCTTGGACATCAGGACTCCAGTTGCAACACGGCTATGCCTTATCACACAGAGATCGTAGAGGCACAGAGACACATGGTGGGGACAGAAACAACAGCCATGCTGTCTCACGGTCATCACAAATAGGGCACACAAGTCAGAGTCAGACAAACCCACAAGGCCACACACAGGGACACTCAGATTGTCAGGGGGGTGTGGAAAAATCAAGGATATACATGCCAGGGTCATGCTGTCACAGAAAGCCACGTGATGGAGAGAAAGGACATGGTCACACAGAAACACAATCTAAAGCCACACTGAAGTACTGATTGTCACACATTCACTTCTCATACAAAAAAAAAAAAAAAAAAGACACAGGAATATAGACACAAAGCAAGGTCGCATATAAAGAAGCATTGTGCCCCAGTCCCCATCAGCTTCCCCACTCCTATCAAATCCTAGGTAGTCTGTTGCATAAATTCCTAGAGCCCCAAGACACAAGTGGATGCAGACCCACAATCACAGACCCACCATCTCACACCTACATAAATATGAGCACACTTCACATGGACTCAGACACACACACACACACACACACACACACACACACACACACACACAAGGAGGAGGACAGGATGGGAGTTCCCGGCCAAATGTCAGTCTTTGGTGCAAAAGGCCTGCCAGGGTCCCTCCTCGTATGGAGCATGGTGTCCACCCAGCAGCTGTGGTCAGCCCTGGGGAAAGGGCATCATTCTCCCAAATGTGTGCACCCAGGGTCCCCGTCCTAGCCCTCATGACTGTGGGTCTCTGCCCAGATGTGAAAGCTGGAGGGGACGGGCCGGGGTCCAGCTGTGGCCGCAGGGAGGGGCTGAGTCACCGGCTTCCCAGCAGTACAACCCAGGCTGGGCCCAGCTGTTCCTGGAAACAGGCAGGAGGGGGTGGGGTCTCCAAACCAGCTGGGGGCTGCCGGCCCCCACCCACACTCTCTGTCCCTACTAATGGAGGCCTCTGGACCATCCCCCAAATTTGGGGGCTCCCTCCACCAAAAATGGAGGTTCGCATCTTTCCGCCAAAATAGGTTTCCTGTCCGGAAACGAGGGCTTGTGACCCCTTTCATTGAATTGAAGATACCCGGATCCCCCCAACAGTGGGATTCCTTACATCCCGTAATAGAGATGGCTGCTCTTCCCTGCCAACATGGGAGCTTCCTTTCCCCACAAACATAAGAATCCCTTCCGCCCCAAATGGAGAGTTAATGGATCCTCTCCCAAATTGAGGCACCCAGACCTTTCCTAAAATCTGGGGACTCGGGTCATTGAACATCTAGAAAGCCCATAATCACATTAGCACAATTCCAGTCCATGCCCCAAATATCTGGTTTCCCACATTTTTCTTATACATCAAGATCCCTGCGGCTTTTGCAAATACTGGGTACCCCACACCAAATATTTGGCGGTCACAGCATGTCTCCCAACGTTGGGCAACCAGGCCCTCCCACAAATATTCCTAGCACCCCATCCTTGTAATAGACGTAGTTCCCGGCCATCGTCCACTTTTACCTGGAAGCAGCGTGGCCCCATTTCCCCCTACTGGCAGCACCCTTTCCTCCGGTGGGTGCGGGAAGGGGGAGCCAGCGGCAGTTGTTCCCACGCCCGCCGGAAGGCAGCCCAGTCCGGAAGCCGGCACTGCCGGCCCTTGTCCCCTTCCCTCCTCCCTCTCACCCCGCTCCCAGGGGTTGGAGGCCGAAAACAACGCGGGAAGGAGATATGGGGGTGTAGACGGGCCCGGGAGGCCCTTGCGTGCGTGCGGCCGCGCTTCTGAGTGGGCTGTAACTGGGTATCTGATGGTACAGTGACTGGGCTGCTGTGACGCGGCGTGGCGGCTCCTGTCATCCTGATCAACCCGCTCCAGAACAGGGTCGCGGGTGCCAAACTCTGGGCTGGAGAGAGCAGCGCCCCTCCCCTCAGACCTAGACCCACCCCCAAAGCAGAGCCCGCCCCTCCCTCCAGGTACAGCTAATAACCTCTAATTACTGGTCATTACCTTGCCCGCCTCGTGGGGGAGGAGCTGCCGGGGGTACTCTGGCGCCAAAGGCTGCGGGCCAGGACTACCCCCACCCCCCACCCTCCCAAAGCCACTTAGAACCTCTGTTAACTCTCCTGCGACCAGGAGTTGAAACAGCTCTTGCCACCTAGAGTCATGGGGAGATTTCAGCCGCCTATGTATGTAAATCGCTTAGCGCAGCGGCTGCACACTGTAGACACTCAATAAATGGTGACTGCGATTTTATTAAATACTATTGTTATCGCTTTCCTTTGAGCCCCCTCCACCGCCAAGGCGGGGTCTCAGAAAAGGCACGTTGCTTCCCCGCAGGCTGCGTTCCTGCAGTCTGCGCGCCCCCTGGTGGGCCTGGGGCACCAGGGAGGTCAGGTCCTGCGATTGGAAGCCGGAGGACCTAAGGGGTTCGGGGCTGGGGAGGGTGGTGCAGGAGAAGCTCTGTGGAAGTGGATCCAGACTGGGCAAGTGTGTCTGTACCTCACCCAAGACCTGAGTCCAGCTGATTCATCCTGCCCTCGACCTAGGATCACGCTCGTGTCCCGTTTACCCCTGAGGCAAGACTCCCAAGTGGTGACTTGGGAAGACCCCCTTTAGGAGCTCTCCTCGAAGTTCATAGAATGTGTTACGGCCTGCCCCTTCCCCGCGCAAATAAAGGCTCCGATCATAAGGTGGTTAGGGGCCAGAATTTCTTCCAGCTGAAGAGAGAGGACGTGAAAAAGTTCGTATAACAGGGTGGGATAGCTCCGCCTCACAAGCGGAGGAATTATCCTGAGGTCTCCGCTACCCTCCCCCAGCCAAAAAGAGCCAAGGAGGAGGGGTAGCGGGTCTGCGCTAGGCATATGCAAGCTTGGCCCAGACTGACCCCTAGCGGCAGGGCGGGCGCCCAAGTGCTGCCCGGATCCAAGATGGCGGAACTGGAGGTATGATCGGGCGCGGGGTGGAGACCACGTGTCTAGGGCGGGGCCTGCGCCTAGGGGGCGGGGCGGGGCGGCGCTCTAGGCCGAGCGGGAGGTCGGGGCTGCGGGTGCTCGCTGGTGGCGGATCAGAAGGCGGTTGCGGTGGCGGGGCTCCGCGGCCGAGGTCGAATCCGATCGGGAGCCATGAGCGTGGACAAGGCCGAGCTATGCGGGTCTCTGCTCACCTGGGTAGGTCGGGGGCGGGGCCAGGGCCAGGTATGCGCCCGCTCTTCTCGCCTGGGAGCCCTGGCCTTGGTTCGTTCTACCCTTCTGTTCTGGGGCTGGGAGGAGGAAAGGGCCTTCGGCCTGCAGGGCGGTTGGACTCTGGCCTGAGCACCCGCCCCTGTCACGTGGCAGGTCTGCGTGGAAAGAACAGGTGAGGCCCCGCCCCTTCGCGGCTGGGTCACGTGGGTGAGGGCACAGGTGCGCTGGCCTGGTCACGTGGGGCCTGTGGGGACCAGGTGACTCGTGGTTCTGCCCTGGCCCGGTGGCGCGGGGTTTGTTGACCAGAAGTGAAGTGAGGCCACGCCCCCTCCAGTCCCAGGTGAGCTGTGGCCACTCCTCCGCGGAGCTGGTTTGCGAAAGCCATAGAGCAGTCCCCGCCAACCGTGTGAGGTTCCCGCTGACCGGGAAAGTCAGCGAAAGAGGAGTGGTTCGATTTTTCCCAGGCCCTAACTGCCCATTGCCCTTTCCTCTTCCTCCCCAGTTGCAGACGTTCCATGTCCCGTCCCCCTGTACCAGCCCCCAGGACCTGAGCAGTGGCCTCGCCATAGCCTACGTGCTGAACCAGATGTGAGTGGGGCTGAGGGGGAGGGTCCCGAAAGGGTCCCCCAGCAGCTCATCCCACCTTCTCGCCCCCAGAGATCCTTCCTGGTTCAACGAGACGTGGCTCCAGGGCATCTCAGAGGACCCGGGTCCCAACTGGAGGCTGAAGGTGACAGGTGGACTCATGACTGGGGGACAGACTGGTGAAGAGATCATCAGGGAAGGCTAAGCTAGACATGTCCTGGGTGATGGGTCAGCCAGACACACGTCCTGGGTGATGCACAGACAACTTGGCCAGGAAGAGAGACAGATGTCTGGTGACCAGCCAACTCTCTTCTTTCATGCTCCTATGGAGCAGGCCTGGGTGTGCCGCAAGGAATGACACAGACAAAAACCTGCACACACGAACATAAACTTCCAGTGGCAATAAGTTCTATGAAGACCACAAAAGCTGGGCCGTGAGAGAGGGCAGCTGGGTGGGTGGTTGGCCCCGATGGGCTGATCTCCATGTGAAATTTGGAGGAACAGGGTTCCAGGCACCGGGAACAGCCAGTGCAAGGTTGGGAAGAAGCCTGGTGTATCGAGGAAAGGCAGGGAGGTCAGAATAGAAAACAAGGGGGGCAGAAATGGTGGATGAGGTCATCAGGAGCGGGGCAGGCTGGGGCAGGGAGATGGATTCTATTTTAAGTGCTACGCAAAGTCAAGGAAGGATTTTAGCAGAGAGGAAAGACAACCTGGCTTGGGATTTAACAAAGCTCCCCCTGGCTGCTTGGAGAGGAATGCAGAGTAGGCAGCGAGAGTGGAAATGGAGACCCGGTTGGTGCAATAATCCAAGTGAGAGATGAAAATGGCGAGGGCCAGAAGGTGGCAGGGCAGGTGGTGAGACGTGATTGGATTCTGGGGACATGTGAACAAGAAAGGCAGGCCACTAGACAGGTCGCCCCTAGGAGGGAGGACAGAGGATGGTACCAAACAGGGATGGAATGACCAGGAATTGGGAAGTGAGGCAGAGGAAAAAAGGCTGGGGCCGACAGATTCAGAGTGGGGGCTGCTCGGCTCCTTCTGGGGGGCTCTGGGACCCTGGACACAAGTCCTTGTACCTCCCTAGGTTAGCAATCTGAAGACAATCTTACAGAGCCTATTGGAGTACTCCCAGGATGTGAGTAACCATAAACAGAATTTAGGAGCTGGGGTTGGGTTGGGAGGAGATGGGTGTCGGTGAGCCCCAATGCCCCCTATTTGCACCCCTACCCCCCCCCGTCCTCAGGTCCTGGGGCATCCTGTTTTGGAGCAGCACCTTCCAGACGTGAGCCTCATTGGCGAGTTCTCTGACCCAGAAGAGCTTGGCAAGCTGCTTCAGCTGGTGCTTGGCTGTGCCATCAGCTGCGAGAAAAAGCAGGGTACGGGGGAGGGGGTGGTTAGAGGATCCTCAGGGGGAAAACCTGAGAAAATCCTCCTCATCCCGTACCCCCACGTTTCAGTCTTCCCCACCTTGATCCCCAGAGCACATCCAGAGAATCATGACGCTGGAGGAGTCAGTTCAGCATGTGGTGATGGAAGCCATCCAGGAGGTAAGTGGGGGTGCCCAGTGTGGCAAGGAGCTTCAGGGGAGGAGACATCAGGGCAGAGGCAACTGGGCATGGGCTCTGCCCTGGTAAGTTGTGGGCTCTTCCTGGAACTCAGTTGGCCAGATGCCCCTGTCTCAGGTGTCTGCCAGCTTGAAGTCACCAGTTAGCACCCTCAAAGGACCCAGCCTCCCTGCTGGATACACTGCGGGAGGGCAGCCTCTAGATAGGGGTTATTGGGGAGAACTGGCTTTGGGTGCAGGAGGATTGAGAGGTCCGGAGGCTGGATTGTAGAAGCTTTAAAGGCCACACTCAGAGGGCCCAGCTCATCTCACTGTCCTCCCACCTTGCTCCAGCTGATGACCAAAGACACCCCCGACTCCCTGTCACCAGAAACATATGGGAATTTTGATAACCAGGTAAGAGGCGGGGGACCTTGTTAAAGGCCCAAATCCATCACTGATTCTCAGGGCTGCCTAAGGAGGAGGAACTTGTCCTTACGTGTGTAAACCACCTCGATCCCTCAGGGTCCTAGCCTGTTCCCTCGCCAGGTCACCAGTGTCCCCACATCACCTTTCCTTGAGTCCCCTGGGGTCCGAGCCCTCCGTTGGATCTTGAGAGTTTCTTGGCTCCTTTCTGCC